ATTTCTGGCAGTCTGTAAAGGCCCAAAGTCTTCAAAAACTACCAGAATGTTCCCCCATTCACACCATCCCCTTTTAGCTGGCTCAGTCAACTTCCAGCAAAGAAAAAGCTATGTTGTAATATTTCTACCATACAACTGTTAAAAATAAGTCTCCTTTCAGGAGAAAAGTGACATTTCTAATTGAACATAGACAGCAGTGAGCAGTGTATGTGTGTTGTGTGCCTTCAAGCCATTTCTAGCTTATGGCAACCAGAAGGCGAACCTATCATGAGGTTTTCTTGGCAGGATTTCAAGGGTGGTTTGCCATTCCCTTTTCCTGAAGCTGAGAGTATATGACTTGCTCAAAGTCACCCAGTGGGTTTCATGAATGAGCTGAGAATCAAACTCTATAACCAAACTTTAGAGGGATGAGTACTCAAAGCCCTGGATCTGGATACACAAATCTGTCAATTCTGCTTTATTCCTCCTTTAAATGATTTTAATCCCAAGTTTATTGCACCCCAGGTATGAAGAAATTTGTGAATGTTGGCAACATCTTACCAAGAATTAACTGAAAGGAAATTGTCTTCATTTCCTATCAGAATGTGGACTTAAAGTGCATATACAACTAGTCCTTTTAAGTTAATTTGTGCAGGGAGACATCTCATTGAGACACTTTACTCAGTGCAGGTCATAAATTAAGTATGATTGAGTGGGAAGGGAAGTTAAAATGTGAAATCAGAGGAAAGAACATGTAGAAAATGTGTACAAATTTCCCAACCTTTCAATATTCTTGCAAGTAGACCATTCGCACAATCAATCAGTGATTGTTAGCCAAGTGCAGATAAACCAGCAACAGCTCAGAGAGTACTGAGAATTTTTCTAACCTAAGAAAATATGCATGTTTACTACCAGCTGTCTTTATATACCTGCAGCTCAGGAGAACACTTCATCCTGTTGTTGGAGTGGATGCTAGTTCACAAAACCTATTCCATCATTAATTTGTTATGATTTTGTTGTTGTTGTTGTTTCTTGCTTCAAGAGACTAACATGACTAAACCACTTGAAATTTTTGTTGTTGTTAACTGCCTTCAAGTCAACTTTGACCCATGGAGACACTATGTATGAAGCAGTATGTAAATGAAGCTGGTTTGCTTGCATGCTTGCTTGCTTTAGGTACAAATGGGAAATACAATGGCATGGATAATCCTAACTGCAGTGTTTAATTATATAACTTTATGGTTCAGGATCTAATCTAGTTTCTGCAAATTATCCTGCTAAAAAAAATCTGAAGGGGCACCCAAATAGTTGTGTGCCTTCAAGTCATTTTCAACTTATGGCAACCCTAAGACAAAACTATCACAAGTTTTTCTTGGCAAGATTTATTATTGCCTTTCTCTGAGATTGAGAAAGTGAGATTTACCTAAGGTCACCCAGTGGGCTTCCTTGACTGAGCAGGGATTTGAACCCTGGTCTCCAGAGTTCTAGCCTCAAATACTCAAACCACAACAGCACACAGGCTCTACACCTAGATAGTTAGCCTCCCCTATCTGAAGAAGATCTACAGATACACCAACGACCGCAAAACTGTCTGCAGATTATGCTGGCTGAAGTTACTACATTAAAAAGGCCATTTTTACACAATCTTTGTGAAGTCTTAAGCCTAACAACAAAAACATCTGAAGGGAAGAAATAGAGCCATTAGCTACTTTTCACTAAGTGCTTAGTATTTATCATTTATCATCTTGTTTACCTTGTCCAAATTGGTAGGGGAAATTAGCAACTAATTCACGGATTTAGGGGTAAAGGAAGGCAGGAAAGAAGAAAGGCCAATACTCTTGATTCCCTATTACATTTCTTAGAAGTAACCAGAAACAAACAATTAATTGTTGCAATAGCAATAACAAGTACATTTCTATACCGCTTATCGGTGCACTTAAGCACTCCCTAAGCGGTTTACAATGTGTAAGCTAATTGCCCCCAACAATCTGGGTACTCATTTTAGTAAACTCAGAAGGATGCAAGCCTGAGTCAAGCTTGAGCCCTTGGCTGGTATTGAACTTGCAGCCTTGCAGTTTGTGAGTGAGTGGCTGCAGTATAGGCATTTAAAAAAAAATTAAAGATTTTATTTATATATTCAAATATACATATTTGATATATAATAAACTTCGTAGAATCAAATCATTCTCTAAATACTATATTCCAACTATTCTTTCCTATAGTTCTTTGACAGTAAGCACCTGTTCTATATAATTATAAATTTGTGCCTTTCTATGTCCCTTACATATGTTTAACTGCTCTTGCTATTAAAATAATTAATCCGTTGGGGAAATGCTAGAGAAAAAAAAAAACAGAAAAATTTATTCAATTGCAAGATTTGAAGGAAAATTTCTGGAAATGGAAACAAAGGTGGTATTTAACTCCCATGAAAATTGCAAGAATTTACAATGTAAAAACAAACAAATGCTGGAAATGTAAACAAAATGTCAGATTGTGGCTCCACACTTGGTGGAGGTGCTCCATAATGAAAAAATACTGGAAAAGAATTTGTATTTCAATACAAGAAATGTTAAAAATTAAATATGAGTTAAGTCTGGAGTTATATTTGCTGAATATGACAAATAAACTAGGCTCAGTTACAGAGAAGAAATACTGGAGAATTTTACTCTATATGATCACTGCAGCTATCTGTTGATAGCTCAGAAATGGAACAAAGAAGAGGTACCTACTGTGGATGACTGGTTATTGAAATTAATAGAAATGAAAGAAATGGATAGGCTTGCTGCTTTAGTAAATCATAAAGACTTAAATAGACTGGACAAAGAATGAGCTCCAATTAAAGAATATATAAAAGCAAGATGAAATAAAAGAAGCAAAGTAACTATGGACTACTTAGAGACAGAAGATGACTTGAACTGTAATATAAGGATGGGAGATACATAAAGAAATATACAAATAATCTGTAAATAAAGAAGGAGGTTTATAGCAGTACAGGCATTTAACCACTGCTCCACAAGGGCACCTTTTGCAGTTATTAGTTAATTATTACCCGTATTTTTTGCCATATAAGACGCT